TGTATATAAACCCTTACGGAACCAGCTTTTTTGGGGAAATGGTGCATTAGTGACTAAAGGCAATTTTGCCATGTGTTCATTCTACCATAGCTTAAAAGGTATGTCACTGGTGTAATGTCTTGCATATTGAAGAACAGCTTTAATTTAAGAATAAACAATGAAACCAAAGGCAAAGATATAAAATTCCACTCACCACTAGCTCTTGGACCCTTGAGCATATCCAGATTTAGACATGCTGAGCTTTTCATGCCGGCCAAAAGCCCATGAGATAACTCAGTGGGTTAATGCGCCATCAGTAGAATCTGTTCCACCCTTGGGTGTCGGAAGTTCAATAGGGTAATAGTAACGTCCCCTGGATGTTGGACAAAAGTAACATCCATAGGACGTACTTGGAAACCAGAGAATATAATGTACATTTCCTGGCTAAATACTTTATTATTATGTAGTAGTTACCTAAAGTGATCTACAATTGCTTAAAATGCCTTACTAACTATTAACTTTATTCTGTTGTAGATGGTGGCATCAAAAGAATAGGCCCTCCAATCCAAGGGAGTTCACACAAAGCTGCCAGGTTAAATGAAGTACCAGAAGCAAGGCATCCTCAAAACTTGAACCACCCTCAAATCCGCCCATTCCCTATTCTACATCCTGCATTTCCGTTGCCACCTGTCCAGCCCATGTACAATAACCTTCCTCTGAACATGGGAGCCAGACCTGCACCATATGTGCCTCCACTTCCCAACATACGCTTGAACTATAATTTCCCACCTCTTAACATCGATTTAGAGCCCAACCTGCCCATGCCCATGCACTATGGACCACAACCACGACGTGAGTAGTGACTCAGCTGGCATAGAGGTCAAAGGCATTGAGAGGGATGGAGCCACAATAAAAGAATGTAGTCTTTTCAGAGGCAATATGCAACACAGGGTGACACGCGCTGCTGTCTTCTAACAGTCTGATCAGCCCACAAGGAGTTTGGATATTGTGTTATTCACTGTTCTTAGCACAACTGTTTCGGTTTTTTTAGTTTGTTTGTTTTTTTGTGAGCTGCATCATATCCAGAGGGAAATGCAAAAGTCAAAATGTATGTCATGAGTTAATATACTTTGTTTTTTCTGAAATGCCTGTTTTTATTTCAAAATTGCCCCAGCTACAGCAGTTTAACTGTACAATACAAATTGTAGAAATTGCATATTTCAGAGCTCTAACAGCTCTTAACCTTCCTGCTTTCATCTTCTGTCAATAAGCAAACTTGGTATATTACCAATGTTCTGTTGTGGCCTTGTGTTCAAAAGTTGCATCATTCGAACTGTTCTGGCTCTATTAGTTCCAGCATCTTAACTGGATAGAGAGCAGAATTTTTCTCTCTTTTTCTGCAAAGATACTTTGCAATCCACTTAATTATTTATATAATTTTGGTGCATATACTCAGTCATGTATGTCAGTGCATATACTCAGTCATTTCCCTGTCGCCACCGCTATGTTAGATCATATACCTATATTCTCCTATAAAATAGGATTTTTTGTCACTCTCTCCAAGCCAGATATTTTGTCTCTGGGATACTAATCCAATAGACCACCCAGACTATTCATTCCAGTTCCTTGGTACTGATGCGTAGCTGCTCCCCACTACTACCATATTTTCTGGAATTTATACAGTTGCTCAGGTCTACAACTATTTCTTTTACTTATGTTTAATATAAATGAATGACCCAGAACCTTAGTACCTGGCACCATGTAAAATGTTTATTATTACGTACAATATTGCTCCATGGTATGCATTATGCTTTTAGTTGTAATTTCCTTACATCAGTTTTGCATTTGATATTGGGTAATAGTTTGCACTGTTTGTTTTTTCACATATCACTGCCACTTTTTCTAAGTGACCCATACTTCTTATATGCTAATAACTAGCAATATCTTTAATACACCTATTCACAACTTACACACACAGTTCTTCACTTTTCTGTGACACGAAAACTAAGTATATTGCCGTTCGGAATTTGTTGATCAGTTCTCATAGCAACCACGCTATGACGCTGGGCACGTCATCACGTTACGCATCACAAGACGCTTCACGTTCACTTCCGTGTTCGGATTGCGGGAATGAGGAAACACTGCATGATTGGTGAGTAGATTTAATATTTCCTATATATTTCTTGTTAATTAGTTTACAAATTGATCTTGAGGAAGACCTGCAGATCAGATTGATCAAATTTATCTAAACATTTTTTACATTAAATACCAGTGATTTCGTTCATAAAGACCGCAGAGTGCATCTCCTTTTTTCCATATAATATATATATATATATTATATGGAAAACGGCCTTAAACATATATATATATGTTTAAGGCCGTAAGGCCTGTATTTGTGGGAGGAGTTAGCGTTCCTATTTAAACGCTGCTACCCCCCTCCCTACCTTGCCGTATGCACGCTGTTCACCTAGTCTCAGTGACAGCCGAACTTCCGGTCCTCGTTCACCACTCTTCCAGCTGCTCACTCAGGGAACTGTTCGCCTCTCCTCCCTCAACAGCCGCACTTCCGTTTCCGGCCTCCTTTTCATTTTGGCCTGCCAGCGTTCGTGCAATAGCATCCTCTGCTCAAACTAACCAACCAGGTAATCGGCGAGAATAGCCGCGTTCGGGCTATTCCCGCCGTTCGGACACGTTTTTTCACTACATGTTTTCAATATTATGTGAACAAAAGATGACATAAAGCAAACTTCAACATACCTGATATCTCTGTCCCATACTATGTAACAGTAACTGACTATGGCATTATTTTATGTGTTTCACATACACACGAACCTTAGGATTGCCCCAGCCAGTGATTCTACTGAATAACAAGCATAACAAGTTGCACTGTGAATTCATATCAACATGTACCTATATGCCTTCCCATCTTTGTGTAGTCTACATATGTTGATAAACACAAACTGGAGCAGTGAATATTAGCTGTGGTGCTTGCTACTTTTATGTTTTGTTTGCCTTGATTAGCTCTTATCATTACACTGTTAATACTTTGTTTAGACGGTTTTAACTGCATAGTGGCCACTATCTAGCTGCAATATATGTTTAATGTTCATTAAGGTATCACAAGCCGATACTATCACAACTACTAACAGTTTACATAGGTTATTCTACACACCGGTCTTGTTAAAGGGACACTATAGTCACCTGAACAACTTTAGCTTAATGAAGCAGTTTTGGTGTATAGAACATGCCCCTGCAGCCTCAATGCTCAATCCTCTGCCATTTAGGAGTTAAATCCCTTTGTTTATGAACCCTAGTCACACTTCCCTGCATGTGACTTGCACAGCCTTCCATAAACACTTCCTGTAAAGAGAACCCTATTTAGGCTTTCTTTATTGCAAGTTCTATTTAATTAAGATTTTCTTATCCCCTGCTATGTTAACAGCTTGATAGACCCTGCAAGAGCCTCCTATATGGGATTAAAGTTCAATTTAAAGATTGAGATAGTTATTTAAAGTAAATTACATCTGTTTGAAAGTGAAACCAGTTTTTTTTTTTTTCATGCAGGCCCTGTCAATCATAGCCAGGGGAGGTGTGGCTAGGGCTGCATAAACAGAAACAAAGTGATTTAACTCCTAAATGACAGTGAATTGAGCAGTGAAATTGCAGGGGAATGATCTATACACTAAAACTTCTTTATTTAGCTAAAGTAATTTAGGTGACTATAGTGTTCCTTTAAATTCAGGACATACAAACAGTTGTTTTACTTGTACCATACACTGGCTTTCTGTTCATTCGTTTAAACCGGTTCATTCGTTTAAATCCTGCCGAACAAGGTCTCAGGTCTAAATTTTATCTATATATTAAGGGGTTCTTAACATATAGGGGGCTTGATTTCTCGCCTTGCCTCGTCAGGCCACGGCTCCACACTACTACTCGTCATGCGGTACCAACATCTAACTAACTCGCTATAACCATCCTAGATTCCCTTAACTCCTTTTATGTCTTCACCATTGTCATCCATTAAATCCTACCACACTTTAGCACAATATCTTCAAGGATAACCTTATAGGGGAATTTAGTTACTATCCGTAGTCTCTTCAGCACACTCTGGACCTATGATTATAATTCTATAGGCAATATCACGGAATTCACTAAATAGATACCTACTATCTTCTACTAGTACAACCAACTGTGTTGCCCTTCTACATGTCAGTGTAATCTGATACTGTGTAGAAGCCACTTATAGTTTAGGGTTGTCCTTTCCTTTTTTAAACTGCACCTTGATTTCAGGTCCAAGACAGCATTCTATCACCAGTCAATTACCGGCTCGTTTTGTCTACAGGTTTTAATCAGGTACAAATAGTTTTCGTTCATTTACTGCCTCATCAAGGCCACAAATTCACACGTTGGGGTATTGGGGTACGGGGGCCTCGTCAGGCCACGGCTCTACTCAATAACTCGCTATACGTTTACTCAAACTTGCTATCTACGGACAGTCGTCCTGTTTCATACAAGCCTCACTCTTATCACCCTCCTCTCCCCCTCTGATACTATCACGCTTTTCTTGGCACAACGCCTTCCTGAAAATCTCCCTTCAGGGTTATATAGATGCTATCCTGAGTTTCTTCAGTACCCTCAGGGTCTATGGTTACCATGCTATTACCCACATCTCCAACAACTAAGTCGTCTATCTATTCTTATTCAACCTTTGCTTTTTTATATATCTGTTTACACACAATAGTTATTTACTGTCCGGCGTCCTTACTTTCTACATACTTGGATAGTTTGGTGAATATCAATCCCTTAAAGGACTGGCACCTGGCAAGTAAAATATTACTTGAATATATTTGGATGTGAAGCTTGAGTGCAAGGATTTATTCATTGTGTGTGTGTGTGTATATATGTGTATATATATATATATATGTATATATATATATATTTATATATATATATATATATATATATGTGTGTGTGTATATATGTGTGTGTATATATATATATATATATATATATATATATAAAATATTTTCATTTTATTTTTTTTTGCCTTAAAAGTGGAAGAATCATCAAAACATTAAAATTTGCACTTTGCAGAGCTTTGGGGAACGAAACTGCCCTTGCTTTGTATTACAAGAACAAGGAAGTAGTTTCTCTGTTAGCAATTGTTTTGTTAAAATAAACAATGTTAATGAAATGATTGGGGCAAATGTACCAGAGAGAGATTTTTTTTTTTGCACATTTTGTTTTTTGTTCTCTCATTTTGTTATTGAAGACTGTTGTGCCGATTTTCACCTTGAATTTCCTTGAATGGAAGATCATTATTTCAAGACCACGAATAGCAAATATCTCTATACTGTAACATTGGTTGTATCCATCAGTGACAAACACATTAGAACTTTATACAGTGTTCTGAATGATTTGTTCCACGTCCTCAAAGAAGCAATATGGGTTATTAAAATTGTAATTGTTTAAAAAAATCTTTGCAGGTCATAGGTGTGTATCCAGTGTATTACTTTGCAATGCATTAGGCACACCTCTGGCAATAAAAGGGTTTAATAAATATACTATGTTGCATACATTTACCTTTCCACATTGTTTTTCCTGCATTTCCGTGCATCTAGTCCATTGCACGAAAGGACTTACTTTATTGTAGAGTGCTGGAGATAACACCAGAGCTGTGGTTTATCTGTGATATTTTCAATTAGGGACAGGAAAACAAAAAAATCTACTAGTTATCACTGATGCAAGAGACGTGTGCCCTGAAATATGGGATTTGCTATCACAGTAGACCATTTTGAAAAAAAAAAAGTCCGCATTCGAACAGCAACAAAAAAACAACTAGTACTGGTACACAGGAATAAAAACAGAAACACACTGCTGTAAAACCAAATTGGGCACTTGTGTTTGAGTCAAGAATAGTCTCTATATTATAAACTGATATGGGAAAGATTTTTGGAGTACAGCTCCATCCCAAAAATTCAGATCATGAGATGGTATTTATGGAATTACACCAACAGGGTTATTTACTAAAGTAAGAATTCAAAGCGAATTTCAAATTTAAGGTCAGAGTAGCCAAACTGAAACATAACAGACTTTTTCTGAGATTTACTTTCCAGTTTGGCTAATTTGACCTTCATTTTAAAATTCGCTTTGAGTTCTCAATTTCATAATCAACCCTGTAAGTGTAAAATAAACTGATAGAAATATTGTAATACAATGAAGCATTATTGTTAACACGAATCGGAAACTGCTCTAAAAGATGGCAAGCCCACTTTAGGTGTCTAACTCAAAAGCTACAAAGTTACATGTAGAGAAAAAGGCCATTCAAGTGCAGTTTCTCATTTCCGATCAATGGTTACATAGTTACATAGTTACATAGCTGAAAAGAGACTTGCGTCCATCAAGTTCAGCCTTCCTCAGAAATGTTGTTGCTGTTGATCCAAAAGAAGGCAAAAAACCTGGTCTGAAGCAATCTTTTTGTAGTGTTTAACCCCTTAAGGACACATGACATGTGTGACATATCATGATTCCCTTTTATTCCAGAAGTTTGGTCCTTAAGGGGTTAAAGGATCACTATAGGGTCAGGAACACAAACGTATTCCTGACCCTATAGTGTTAAAACCACCATCTAGCCCCCTGGGCCCCTCATGCCTCCATAAATATAGCAACATCTTACTGTATTCAAGCCAGAAGCTGTAATTCTGCATACTGTTTGCCTCAAAAAAAAAAAAAAAATAAGCATTCTGCTGACATCAGAAGTGGTAGCCTGATCCAATCACAGTGCTTCCCCATAGGATTGGCTGAGACTGACAAGAAGGCAGATCAGGGGCAGAGCCAGCATGATTCAAACACAGCCCTGGCCAATCAGCATCTCCTCATAGATATGAATTGAATTAATGAATCTCTATGAGGAAAGTTCAGTGTGTGCATGCAGAGGGAGGAGACACTGAATGTTTGGATGCATTTTAGGCAGCCATGACCCAGGAAGGATCTCTAACAGCTATCTGAGGAGTGACCAGCGAAGTTATCACTAGGCTGTAATGTAAACACTGCATTTTAGGAGTAGGAGGGGGCGTGGAGCGATGACGTAACACGTGGTTACACTCGTGGCGCTAAGAGCGGAGGCAGCGAAGAGGAGCATGAAGGAGGTGGTTTGTCAGGCAAGGGAGTCAGCGTTAACTGGACGAGAGCGTTGTGCTGCCTGAGGGAGGCCGCATCTAATTCTGAGCAATAGGGAGACATCAATGAGGTATGACAAATACTGATTAGTTTTGAAACCCGAGCTCTGCAAGTGAAAAGCAGGAACTGAAGATTCCCCTGGATAAACCTGGAAAATCTCAGATAAAACTTTTTTTTTGGCTTTATTTACTGGTTTATTTGGTTACTCGTTTATTTAATGATTTTTTTGGAGTGCTCACGGTCCGAGTGTGCGGTAAATCTGTATGATATTTATAAGATACTGACTACCCAGATTATCTGAATCTTAGTAATGGTATAGCTAAACTCAATAGGAGAGGAGGGTAGGGAAATGAGAAGGGAAGGTAAAAAAAGAGAAAAACTGGAGTGATATTCCCCGGATCCTGGCTAAGTCTCTTAAAACTAAGTGACTCGATTTTGGTTACTTCTGGTGGTTATCATCCATATAGGGCTGTTTGCTGAAGGGAGATAGGACAAAGCAGAAAAGAAGATTGGTTTTAAAATCAACTATACAGAGTGAACTTGTAGCCCAACTGGGTGTTGACTAATTTGCATTAATTGCCTGGCCCCTTGCTAACCACATTTTTTGGAAAATCAAAATAACAGTTAATAAAAGAGGGAGAACAGGGAGGGAAGAAACAAGGAAAGCTAGTTGAAATTAAGCTAAAGTCTGTACTTAATTAAATTAAGGTTTATAATTAAGCGCAAGTGGAGAAGGGAGTGATCTCCTAGGAATAAATCACCTGTATTTAACAGGGGGAAAGGAGGGAGGAAGAATGGAGAAAAAGGGGAAAAAGAAAAAAAGGAAGGGAGAAAGACAGGAGTAACTCCAAATGACTAACATAATTACTCACTATAATTAAGATATAAAACCCAGGTGCAGGACTTTCTCTCCGAAATCTTAGCAAACATCTAAGAAGCAGAGAGAGAGTGAGGGAAAGAGGAGAGAAAGTAAGGGGAAAAGGATTAAGCTGAGCATTTGGTTGTGCCATAAATACCCTTGGGCTTAAAGAAAGTGAGCAGAATATATTTGGAAAAGGGCAGATCGCATAAATGGCTACTAAAAAAAACAATGGTCCAAAGAATGCAATGGAGAGATAAGAAACAAGAGAACAAACCAGAAAACCTCTCTTTTTTTTTTTTTTTTTTCTCCTCCCAAATAAACCAATTAAACTTAGAGGGAAACGAATCGGAAGAAAGCATCATAAATATGCAAAAAAATCTTTCATCTAATATAGAAATAGACCAGACTGTCACAAAGGTTTATTTGGAAGATGCATTCGATTCTCTGCTTGAAAAATTTAAAATTGAAATTAACAACATGAGAAAAGAAATTAAAGATGAACACCAAATAAAGATGCAACTCCAAGAAAAATTTCAACAAGAGAAACTAATTAAAAAGCATGAAGAAAAAATTTCCAATATGGATAAAAAAATTGCTGAGTTAGAAGATAGAACAAGAAAGAATAACCTAAGACTATGCGATATTCCAGAAAAAATTACACATGAGCAACTAGAAAACTATATCTTGGAACTTATAAAAGCTCTTGATATAGATGTTTCAGAGTATAACCATATCTTGGAGAGATATCACAGGACATTTAAACCCCCAGAAATACACAGTTCAAAACAATGTGATGTTATTATATGCTGCGTTTCATCTAGACTCAAGGAACAGATCATGAAAGCGGCGAGAAATAGCCATACGATTCCAGCATACGCACAAATAAAGATCTACCCTGATCTTTCCTACCATACTAGATTAGAAAGAAGACAATATACTGATTTGACCAAAATACTTCGAAATAAGGATATAAAATAAATAACAAAGAAAGAAAAGACAGGCCTTTCGAATATCAACTGTACCTCTAACCAAATCATTGTCTTCTTTCTGTACCATTGCAGTTCTATTGTGCCTCATGAAACTCTGCTTTTGTACAAGCCCAAGTTCTATTTACAAGCTGTATTGTCTGTCAACGCAAAAATAAAGAATTATAAAAATATATATATAAATGGGGTTTTCCCACAAAAATAATTATATCCTATGAATACAGTACAGTATCATTTGACTCTCCAGAAAAATTAAACAAATGGCTTAAAGAAAAAAAACCTACAAAATGAATGAGAAGATCCTCAAACGTATAAATTACATGTATTCTCTCTTTCCTCTCTCCCCTCACTCCTCTTTAAGAAAAAAAAATTATTATAAAAAATTTACGGTTTACGGACTCTTCCCAAAAGGCTTGAGACCCTTTCTTATTATATAATGCTGATATAAAAGATCAAGAGGAAATCCACATGTGAAAATGCTTTGACCGGTAGATTTCTCTACAACAACTGACAACGCGATATAAAGAGAAATATGGGAATATAGGGATTACATTTTTTTTTTTTTTTTCTCATCTTAACTTGATGGTTTATAATGAAAAGTTATCCACACACTTAATTTGAATCACTAATGATAAAAAAATAATTTTGTAAAGCACAATAGGCAAAGAATAGTATCACACTAAGATACATAGAAATTACAAAGAAGGCATACATTTATTAGAAGGGTTTCACTATTAGTCAGAAGAATACACGATAATATAACAATATAGGATAAGATATCACCCAATACGCTTGAAATAGCGAGAATTATTGTAAATACTATAAAATATATCACAAAACACAGATTATTCACACAGACCAACAGCAGAGACCCCACGACACTAAACGCACACAAAATATACACCCTTTATTTATGAGGGCAAAACAGAATATATTAGATAGATGAGAAGGGGACAAAAAGAAAGAGAAAGTTGACAGAGAGGGAGGCGAGAGAAGAGGGAAGGGATAATTTAACCAGATAAGAAAGAGACCTAATTTAATAAAGATTAGATAATGACGGTCACACACTGGTCTTTCATAAACAGGAAATGGAGATGATGGGGAGAAAAGAGAAGGGAAGAAGAATACTAGGTAGATATAGAGGAAGAGAGATAATGATCAGATATAGGTCTTTATAAAGGTAGGATGAAAGAATAATTTGCTCCCCAAGCAGTCCTCGGTTCGGGTTGCCATATGCTAATGGCAATTATTAAGGTGCCCCTGGCCTGGCCAGCAGACTGTGATTGTCTATTGTTGTGACTTAGATGATCATATCACATTTTATGACCAATTTGTGCAGAAATCCATATCATTCCAAAGGGTTCACATACTTTTTCTTGCAACTGTATGATCATATAATGTAACTAAATCCCCATTATTTTTTTTGCCTAGATTAGGTCTTTTTAAAAAACAAACAATCTGAAGTTGCTGTTTAGTGGATAAGGGAGTGCTGGATCTTGTATTGTATAAATTGGCTCCCAGCGTATGTTCAGGTGAGTGCAGCCAGTCCCC